TGTGGAAGTCAAGTGCCCTGTGATGGATGGACGGGCAATGGCTTTTTAAGTATCTGCATTTCAAAGAAGCATAAACACCAGATTCAGCAAGTGTAGCTTAACCTCACCTGACTCCAGGGACACCTTTCCACTGTCTCCAGTGGCTGTTGGATGGGGCCTGCCAGAGGCACAGGTTTCCATGGAGAAGCCATGCACTCAAGCAGCTACATATTTAAATACTCTAGATGAGCCTCCTTCCTGGATTTCCCAACATCTGTGCTTCCTCGCCTTGGAAGCCATTCCCCTCTTGGATCTGGACACTCGGAGCGTGCGGAAATGAGCGGGAGCAGCTGAGGACAGCAGTTGTGAGTGGAGCAGAGCTCTCCGCAGCGATACGGGGGAGCACCTGCGGGTGCTCTGCTAGAGCTGCAGCCCAAATTCCATTATTGCTGCCACTGCGTTGGTTGGGGCATCCCTCCACAAGCCAGGAGGGATGCTGGGAGCCCACAGGATGAGGCAGAATGCTCTTCTTCTCTTGTCCCTTCAGTCTGCAGCCCGTGCCAGGGCTGTCTCGCCCTTTGTGGAATAGCCAGGCTCATGCCAAAGGTGGTTTTGCTGCGTGGCTCATTTCTTACCACAGACACGTTTCCAGGGCTGTTATAAAGCTTATCTCCTCCTGTTATTTCCCAATATCAAATCACAGTAAGAAAACAGATTTCCCTTTGCTGAACACAGGTAGTATTACACTGGGGAGTGTTAATGGCTTAAGCAAAGATTTTTCCACCTACAGGCGAGTGACTGATAGTTTATCCATCTGCTGCATAAAACCAATGCTTAAATCCCAGCTTTAATGGGTCATATCACCTGTGGTTTCATAATAACTCTGGATTTTCCCTTGAAGGAAGATGCAAAATAATGAAAATTAGTACTTGGAAGTTAAGGGATTTTTTTTCAGTTCAACAAACAACAGGGAGCCCATCACTTTTTCAAGTCAAATTGTCTTGAGTGATTTTGTCGTAGGTCAGAGGGAGGTCAGACAAGTTAGGTTTGGTCTTTTTCCTGCGTTGTCATCTCTCAGCAGGAGGAGGAAGTTCACATCAGCAGGTGTCATAAACACCAATTTCCCAAAATTTCATAATCATTTAGATCTAATTACAAGACACACATGGTTTTTTACTTTCCCCAGGAAGACTTTGGGGAGTGTCCACCACTAAACCAAATAAGAAGGAATTTGCAGTGATTTTGCTGCAGTCAATGAGTTTGCATTTTTAATCCAGGAAATCCAGTTTAATTCCAGAAATTTATTTTAACTGGCTGTGTTGCTCCAGGTCAGTTCACTTACTGCAGCATCACAGAGACAGGGAAGGAGATTACTTTTGTATTTTTTTTTCAGTGTGTCCATCAGGAAAAGACACCCCAATAAACTGGGTTGTAGACAGTGCGGACACTTGCGCTCCTGCCTCAATCTCTGCCTCCTACAACAGAAATTCCCCTGCTCAATAGCAATTTGACCCAAATCTAAAAGGCTGAGAGAGACCTGAGTGTTGCCAACTTTGAGTTCTCAGTTTGTTTTAAGAAGGTAAAGGGTGTCAGGAAACCACGAATTCTGTTTTCTCTGGAGATCACCAAAAGTGCCATGAGTGATGGCAACACGTATCTCGTGGTAGACTCCTCATGACACTGCCTGAGCTGTTTATGCCCCTCAAGGGTGATTAAGACTGGGTCACTTACTTAAAGATCTCATTTTAGATATTGGCTGGTGGTGTTTGTCCCTCTGCACTCCACCCTGCAGAGATGCAACTCTGTGCTGGTGCTATCTGTCCCTCTGGAGGCCGTGCTGTGGCTTTTGTCCTCATGGATCTCCATGGTCCCCTTCTGTTCTTCAGCCTGAGGGGACATCCACTGCCTGCAACCCTCAGGTGGGTGCTGGTGAGTAACTAAAGAGCAATTTGCCTTAATGGAGTGGTACAGGACAGGGACACCTGATTTACTTCATCTCTGGCACCATGATTTACTTCATCTCTGGCTGCCCCTTCTAAGGGAGCTAAGCCAGCACAGAGAGGGAACACTGCTAATGTGGACACTACAGTTATCCTTATCTCAGCTTTCTGTCTTTGCTGATCATTAAATTATCCCACAGCCCATCACAGACAGGCCTGCAACATCCACAGCTCTATTAATAAACCTCCTGCAGCAGTAAATCCCCGGGCCTGACTGTGGACTGTCAGTACCTCCTCTGATTTATTCCCCATTTAGCCACCATTTGCTTCAGAGATAAAAGGGAGCAGCCACCAGTTCTGCTCTCTCTGTGGCCCCTCAGTGACAGCAGTGACAGCCTCGGGGAGAAGGTGCTGAGACCCCCATGGTTGTCATCATTTGCCAGAAAAAAAATAAATTAAAAATCTTCATGTGGAGATGCCCCAATGCAGACTTGCATTTGTGGGCCCAGACCACCTGTCAGCCTAGAACTGCGGAAGAAATTTATTCCTGATCCTTTCTGAAGTTCACAAATCCTCTTTGCCACAAACATGGCCAACACCACCATGAATTTGGACAAGGCTGCTGCAGGCGCGGCCAGTGCTGCTGCAAACACGTCCATGAGGACATTCAGCAGTGCCACAGGGATGCCATCCACGGGCAGAGAGAGGCCAGGACAACTCTTTACCGGGGTACGTGCAGCTGGGCCTCCAGGGAAATCCAGGGAGATATTATGAGTCCAGTGTGAGCCCAGGTGGGCAAGAAGGCCAGTGGCGAATGGCTTGGATCAGGAATGGTGTGGCAGCAGGAGCAGGGCAGTGACTGTCCCCTGTGCTGGGCACTGCTGAGGCCACCACGTGCTGTGCCCAGTTCTGGGCTCCTCAATTCAGGAAGGACACTGAGGGGCTGGAGCGTGTCCAGGGCAGGGAATGGAGCTGGGGAAGGGTCTGGAGCACCAGGAGAGGCTGAGGGAGCTGAGAAGGGGCTCAGCCTGGAGCAAAGGAGGCTCAGGGGGGATCTTGTGGCTCTGCACAACTCCTGACAGGAGGGGACAGCCGGGGGGATCGGGCTGTGCTCCCAGGGAACAGGGACAAGACAAGGAAAAACAGATTCAAGTTGTCCTGGGGAGGTTCAGGTTGGATATCAAGAAGAATTTTTTCATGGAAAGTGCTGTTAAGCATTGGAAGGAGCTGCCCAGGGAGGTGATGGAGTCTCCATCCCTGGAGGTATCCAAGCAATGCCTGGATGTGGCACTCAGTGCTCTGGGCTGGTGATGAGGCATGAATCTGTCACAGGCTGGAGCTCGCTGATCCTGGAGGTCTTTTCCAATCTCAGTGATTCTGGGATTCTATGATTAAAGGGACGGGGAAACCCAAAGAGAATTTAAGGAGGGATGGTCCTGGCCAGGAGGCAACTCTATCCCAGAGCACCAGATGTGCATCCTGGGCCTCTGGGGCTTCCCAGGGACACTGGGGAGCAGGAGGCTGCTGACCTGTGCTCTGGGGTCCTGACCATGGCAGGGCAGAATGGCCCCACTTTCTGCTGTTCACAACTGACTTGTCCCTGTGGGGGGAAGCTTAATTGCCTGTCTTGGCCTGGACAATACTTAAACTCATTTTCTGGACTCCAGAGGGATTGTGGTTGGCCTGTAACAGCCCCAAACACACTTTGATTCATTTTATTTCCTGGACTCCTAAAGGGATCCTTTTTTTTGGCCTGTTTTGGCCCAAAGCCCTGTTTGATTCACTTATTTCCTAGACTCCCAAGGGAGTGTGGTTGGCCTGCTTTGGCCCTGTCTTGCTGTCACATTTCCATGCTGGTATGCAATGCATCTGCACGCTTTAGATTCCTCTACTGCTTGTGCTTTCACTGTAGGCCAAGGCTGGATGTATTTTGCAATATTTCGGGAAATATAAATACATTTGGTCTGTCTCCATGCAATCACCTTGCTGAGATTTTCCTGCAGCCTTTCACTGCGTCATCTTTTCCACTATTGTTACATGGCAAGAGGCACTGTGAGCTCAGCATGGCCAGGTGGATAGAGGATGCTCCCTGTGGGATTTGCAGCAGGGAGCACCCCAAGAGAGAAAGGGAAGGACCCAAAGAGGAGGGAAGGTGGAGAAAAGCTACAATCTGCATGGTTACTGTCCCTATTAAAAGTGATTTCATGGTTGTGTAACTTTGTCACTGAGCCTGCCAGCTGCTTTCCCACAACAAGGAAACCCCAGCTGTGAGGAGATGTCCCTGGTCATGCCAATCCAGGTACCACGGGTGACACATGGGGCAAGCCAAGGTGTGGGACTGGCTCTGTCATCATCCCATGGGTGACCTGATTGCACAGCCATCCCTCCAGAGCCATGAACTAAGGAGTTGCCACAGCTGGTGGCCCCTGCTCAGCACACACAGAGCATAAAGCATAATCCCCACCACCCCTGCTCTGACTGCCCTGTGTTACTTGTACAGCCCCTGAATGACCAGCAGAGACCCTGCTTGGTCTCTGTTGTGATGGAGCACAGATCCTTCCTCTCCACACAATCACAACTGAGCAGGGAGCTAAGATGCAGATGGCCTCCACTCCATGGAGAAAATGTGCAGAGAAAAAGTCTTTCATACTGTCTTTGAGGAAAAAAAAAAAAATTTCCTGATGATTTTACTTGCCTCTACTGAAACAAGTTGAATGGTGACTTCCCAGTCCCAAACTAGTCTGACACTGGGAATAGTGGCAGAACAAGCTGAAGAGGTGATGGATATTGCTATTCTCCTCCCTCTCCTTGAGCACCTCTTGGACTTCTCCAGCCACCTCTTGATCTGTGTCTGCTCACACTGAGCTCAGCCTGTACCAGTCTCCCTTATCCTGGCAGAAGGTGCTGCCAGCACACAGAATATGAGCACTGGGAGAATAAACAGCTGGAGGTCTGGGTTCCCAGTTAAAGGCCCAGCTCTGCTTTGGAGAGCCTGTCACAGTGTCCAACATTGACATCTGTAACTCTGCAATAGCACTTTGCTCTTTGCTCCTGAAATTTCAAAGGAATTTGTCAGAATATTGATAGGTTTGTTCCCCATAAAAATTCTGAAGTGTAAAGCTGCCTGGGGCAGAGTCCCAGGCCAGACCCATGCCCTCCAGAGCACATGTGAGAATAAAGTCTTACTTTCAGTAACAAGATTGTCCCAGCACTGCAACAACAGACCTATTTTATTTCTTTTATCATTTACAAATATCACCACAGTGCAAACTCATTCCATATCCCACCAGAACAGCATTGCTTTCCATATAGACTGTCTGGAGATAAATGTTTCATCACAGAATTTATTGTTTACAGAGCTTACTCATTTACTGTGCAACTCCTTTTTATCAAGATCTCATTTCAGAGCCCAAGCAAGAAAGAAATCCAATAAATCCAAGAGCCTGTTAATGCTGTGAGGAGAAAGCAGCTCTTTACTGAGTGAGCAAGTTTCATTGTCCAATTGTCCCAGGAAATTTAAAGCAGAATGTGTTTTTGACAGCTTCGTTAATGGGACTTTTTTTTCCCCTTGCCAGAAATTCAGGCATAATTGAGACATAGTGTTGAACTTCAAATGTTTCCCTGAAACTGGAATAGAGGACTTGATGAAGCATGTAATATGGCATAACCTCCCAATTATTCACACGTTTAGATAACCATAATCACACAACGCCCATCACAGCCAGGAGGTTATTCCAGGCAGATATTGGCAGGGGCTAATGGACAGCACATTGCGAGGGCAAGGAGGCTTTGGGAGGAAACATTAATCAGAATTTGGTAGCAGAGTCATCAATCACAGCTTAACAAAGCTGTCACTCACCGCTGCAGTCCCGGGACCTCGATCAACTCAGAGTTCAACTCATCAGTGTCCAAGAGCAGAACTCAGCACGGGAGAATGGCATTGCCTCAGTGTGACTGTCCCCAGGACACCCAGCCCTTGGCAGCATGGCTTCTCCAGGGAAGAAGCAAGAGAAATCATCGCCAGGATTTGTAATAATTGGGCTGTGTATTTTTCAGTCAAACGACGTCACTTTTGATTATCACTATTTGATGTTTTCTTGCCTTGGGTTTGAGAAATGCAACTGCATTCTGCAATTGGAGATTACTCCAACCAGGAGCTTTTCTAACTGCTTGCTGAGACACCCTTAGCAAATTGTGACATGTGAGAAATGTGCAGCAGGAGCACAGCAAGCAGATGAGGGGCTGTGACTATTCCCATTGCCCAGGGACCATTAGATCTCGTCTGGGATGCAGTGTCCAGGTTTGTGTCCCCAGCACAAGCAAAATGCCAATGAACTGGGCTGAGTTTAGCAGACGGCCACCATGATGGGCTGGATGGTCCTACAGGGAGGTGCAGAAGGATCAGATCTTGTTCAGCCTGGGAAGTGGAAGTTCATAAGGAAACTTAAAGCCAGTCAGAAATTTGGAGTGTGAAAAACTGGAGGTTTTCTAGATCTGACTAAAAAAGCCCTGAGCAAAATGATCTGACTTCAGTTCTGACCCTGAGTTCCAAACCTGCCAAGTCCGTCCAGCATGAATAGTGTTGCATTTCCATGGCTGAAGGAAAAATTCTCTGTTCTCCACCCTTTCAGGAGGTGGAACATGCTGCAAGTGTTCAAATAGCAGCACAGAAGACTGAACTTTGGGATCAGGACATGTAAGACCTTTGCCCAGGACCTGGCTGGGAGGTTGTACCACATCTCATTCATGGGTTCCAGAGCATCTGGGAGTGCTGTTGCCTTTGTCCAGGTACCTTCCCCAGTTCTTTAGTTAAGTCCCTCATCCTAGATTAAGACCAGCCAGCACTAGTCCTGACACTGCTCCTGCACAAAGGCAATTTTCCTGAAAGAGGATGTTTGCACTTCACCTTTTGCCACAAACATTTTGTGCAGAGTCACAGAATTACAGAATATTCTGATTTGGAAGGAACCCACAGGAATCATTGAGTCCAACTCTCAGCCCTGCACAGGATGCCCCAGGAGTCACCATGTGAGTCCACACAGCTTATTTCCAAACAAGGCTTTTTATCATCTGCTCTTCTCCTTTTAGACCCTGCCTCTTGCACTGTTTTACCTAAGCCCACTCTCTATTTTGCCACATTTTGTACTCACCATCCTGCCAGTTTCAGTTGTTTCACCTCTGTCCAGGCCCTCCCCCAGGGCACAGCTGCAAAGCAGTGCAGGCGTGGGGCTTTTCTTTCATCCTCCAGAGATGCCTTCAGTCTGCACTCTGTGCATCAAAGGGCAGGGGGTTAGAGGTCTCTGAGTACCTAAGGAATGAGGGAGCTGCTGCAAATGAGTTCCTGAAGACTCAAACTTTCTGTGCCCTCTTTGCAGCGTCCCGTGTTGGCTGAGACATTGCTTTTTGACAGCACTGGAGCACATGGAAACCTTGATCCAGCCAACACATTATGCTGAAAAACTTCATGCTTTGGGTACATAAAGTTTTCCACATAAACAGGTGGGAGTCTGGCGTGGCTGGCAAGATTTGAGTCCAGTGCATGGTGTTTTTAACACTGTGCGGAAAACTTTTGGGTGCTGGCTGTCTTGTGAGGGGTCAAGTGAGTCATTATTTTCATTGGCTTTCCCCTGGCCAGGGTGTCCCTAAGAGGTTTGTATGAGGTTTCCCTTGCTCCTCTGGCAGAGCTGAGGAGCTCCCTCCTGGTGCTGCAGTGCAAAGATGATGAGGGACATTTCCAGGGGAGGGAGGGACTTCAGCATGCCAGTCTCTTCTGGATGAAGGACCAGGAGCAGAAAACTTCCCATCATGGTTGGTTTGGTCCACCACCAAATTGCCAAGGTATGGTGCCACCTATTTCTTAGAAACTGGGACCCTCAGTGGTACTTGAGTGGCTCTAAAAGAGGAACCCAAGATGATGGTGGGTCTGTACCTGTCCTGGCTGAAGGGTGGCTTTGGAGAAGTGAGGCATCATTGCTGGCACATGATGGGAACCAAAAAAACACCCCAGGATTTTTTCATATCCCACTTCAATCATGTGTCTTGTGTGCTGCAGGGTGTCCTCCCCCAAAAGAAGGTATTCCCAAAATCTCCTGAGAGGAGGCTGCACATTTTCCATTTTCTTTCAGGATGGACTGGTGAGTTCAGGGTTTTCTCTGGTTGCTGTGTTGGTTTTGCTTGTACCTGTCAGCCTGTGGTGAGAGAAGAGCTGCCTGAGGAACCCTGGAGACAGAGAGCCTGCAGTTGGTGACATTGCCATGAGGAACTAACAATATTTTTTGGCTGAGGTTTTGTGTTCAGGTAGAAGGGAAACATTACATGAGATGATCACATTTGGCTCCAGAAAAATGGAAGTTTTGAAGGCACTCCAGAATGGAGCAATAACAATATGGGAAAGGTGGAAAAACCCTGGGTCATTTGCAAGTCCAAGTGCCTAAATCTCTCACTGGGGCTGCAGTGAGTGGTTTGAACATGGCCCAAAGTCTGCTCTGTGCTGTGGTTGGACAGGAGCTGCTGGGATTCCGGCTGGATGTGGAGCTGTCCTGGTGGCCTGGAGCCAAGAGCCACTCAGTGTGCCCAGAGAAGGATGCAGTGAAGGTTTCCCAGCCTGGGGCTTGCCAGGTTGTGTGGCCAGCAGCATCCAAGGGAGGGACCTGGTCATGATCCCATTTGGTCTCCTTGAACCTCTGGGCCAAAGGGACAGATACCACTGGCAGCCAGGTCAAGTGGGGACAGCTTTTACCAGGAGCCAAAGCTCCTCCTTACACCTTCTTGAGTGGAAATGAGACTGTTCTCCCACCACACCCATGAGGGGAAGGGAGGGGACAGGGTGGGGAATCGTTATTTTAGTCATTAGCTGATGGGGAATTTACCAAGGAAGACTGACCTCAAAATCCCACGGTTTTCTCATTGTAGAAGTAGCCAGTGTGAGGAAAATGTCACGTACTCCAGGACTGGGACAGAGAGGAGAAATCCCGCTGCTTTGGAGATTCTGCCAGGATGAGCTCCCATGTCCCATAAACAGATTGTCTTCCCACTCTCTGGACTTTTTTATTTTCTCATCACCTGCAGGCCTTGGCTGAATTCTGTTCCTATGGCTGATGGACCTAAATAATCTCTTTTGTGGAAAGAAACCAAACCTGGGCAGGAAGCTGCATCACAGCCTCAGGGGTGCAAAAGGAGAGTGCTTGCAAACATGTTTTTTGGGGGTCACCCCCTCCATTTCCTTAGCAACAATAAGCATTAGACCTTTTAACCTCAAATCTATGCTTGGAAACAATGTTCATGTGTACTTTTGCTTAGAACTTACTTTGGGCCTGAAGAATCTTCCAACCAAAGTGGTTTTTTGGTGCTTTACAGGTGGTGGCCATGGGAAGCCATTTTGCTCATTGGGTGGCAGACTGGGGACACGTCCCATCCAACGTGGGCCCAACACTCCTTCTGTTTGTTGATCCATCCCAGAGGAGCCATATGAGTGGTTCCTGCTCTGTTATTGTCCCAGGGCTCCCCATGGAGTGTAACATTACAAGAAACCTGGGCTGTTTATTTAAACAGAGAGGGTTCCACCAGGGTCACAAAGTGACGTTGCGTTTCCCACCCTCCTGACAGAGCTGTGGGGACACCAGAGGGACTGTGTTGTGTTTGGGGTGCTTTCATATCCCACACAGCAGGCAGAGAAGGAAAGCTGATTTAAAGGGGGTTATTTAGAAAGAACAAAGTCAAGCCATTCTTCTTACATCAGGCCCATCTTGGGAAAATGACTCCTGATGGTATAAGCTGCAGATCAAGGCAATTAGATGGAGAAAGAGAGTGTGAAAAGCTATTAAAACCCTTTCCAAATCTGTCATAAAATAGTAATAAAAAGCCTTTGGCCAACATTCTAGCTGACACACTGATCTAGAGTCTTGGAGATCACAAATACAAGCTGATTTACCCCAAAGGAAGGTCTGCTCCATCTGCTGGCCTCAGCATTAAATGATGAATTTCCTTTCCCAAAGCACCCTCAGAGGAAGCCTTGAGCTATGCAAGACACATAAAAAGGGAGTTAAACATGGATCATAGATTCATTTGGCTTGGAAAAGGGCCTTTAAGGTCACTGAGTCCAAAGAGTTAAAGCAGCACTGCCAATCCTGCCATTAAACCATGCCAGGTATCTGGCATGGCAAGCTGTGAGCCCAAAGCAGAGCATTTGCCCTCAGAATTAGATGGTGGAGATTCACCGGGGTGTTCCCATTTCAGGGCAGGGCTGTGTCCCAGTGACAGAGACACTCCAGCTCCTCCTTGGGTGACCCCACGACTGCATCCAACACACACCTGTGTCCTGCCACACTCCATGTGACATGGAAGACTCCATGGTACATGGAAGAAGTCCCAAGAGATGCCACAAAAAAAGGCATTGAAAAAATTCTTGGCTGTGAGGGTGGGGAGGCCCTGGCACAGGGTGCCCAGAGAAGCTGTGTCTGCCCCATCTCTGGAAGTGTCCAAGGCCATGTTGGATGAGGCTTGGAGCAATCTGGGATAATAGAAGTTCTCCCTGCCCATGGCAGGGGGTTCGATTTAGGTGATGTTTAAGGTCCCTTCCAAACCAAACCATTCCATGATTTTGCATGTCCAAGAGAAGGAAATGTTCATCAGCAGGGAGCCACAGGCCAGACCTTGAGCAGGATCCTATATAAGGCTCTGCCATGGATGTGCTTGAGCTTGGATGTGATGACTCCTGATCCCTGTGTCTCCCTCAGCCCTTGCCCTGCCGTGGATGTTTTTGGAGCAGCCTTTCCCTGGCTGGCTGTTTGTACAGTGACTTGCATAACTAGAGCATGATGATTTTAGCTCAGGGCTCTCAGTCCCATGATACAGAATGGGATAATTGAATGCAGCAAGTGCTGTGACAGAAACCAAACAGGAGTGTAAAAAGGAGAGCTCCCTGTTCAAGGGAAGGGAGGAAAAGCCTCCTGATTTTCTTGTCATGAAGTTTGTCCTGGGTTTGCGTGGAGGAAAGGCAGGGAAGGGGGACCTGTCAGCAGAGGTTGCATTACTGGCTCATGCAGGGAGGGGAGAACTCTGTGCTTCGTGTGTGTGTCTGGGTTCAACAAGCAAATAAAGCAAAGATTTCTTTAAAGATACCAAGCCCAAGCACACCACAGCTGGGAAGCACACATGAGCAATAGCTTTCACATGCTAACAAATAAAAGAGCCTTGCAAAACAGATGCTGAGGTTTGTGGGGCTGGCACAGGCTCGCTGCTGGCAGGGAGTTAACTCACAGAAAGCTGAAAGGTTCAGCGATGGAAGAGTATCCAGAGACTGTTTGTTCATAAACACAGCTGAGGGCCAGCAACCTGCTTTATCCCCTGCCCGAGCTGCACTGCCCCAGTCATTCCTTGCAGGGCTCCTGCAGGAGAGAAGGCAGATATGCAATTCTTCTGCAGCCCACGCTCTAGAGAAATAATTAAACAGTTTTTCTTAACCTCCTGAACTTTTCATTTATTATTGCCATCCATTATGTCTACCTTCTCAAATAGCAGGATCCTGAAAGCCAGCTCCAGGGGTCAAGGGTTTATTGTTTAATGGAGATAGAACATTCTGTAAATTGCACAAAGTCACAATGTTTAGAAGAGAAGCTTCTGGTGTACTGAATCTTTTCAATTTAACAAACAGTGAGCTTTGACATATGTTCTTCCTCCATAGCAGGAAATTTGGGATAAGTGCAGTACTGGCATGGACATGTTACCAAATCCTTCCTGTAAACCAAATGACATCTGCATTCAAATAAAAACATTCCTTGCACCAAATACCAGGAAATACTAAAAGTATCACTATTCTTCTAAGGTCATGCTAAAATGAAGTTTTTGGCTTTCAGAACACAAAGTAAGTTTGTACAGGGCCAAGACGTTTTGTTCAACACACATTTGCTGTTACAAATCCCAAGAGACATCCTTCTGGGTCAAATATGTGCATGTGTCTGTAGAATTTTGCAAGCATTTAATCTTCTTCATATGAAAAAAGAATAAATATTTTAGGAGCGTGGACTTACATTAACAAATATTGCTGTTGCCTTTGTTTTTACTAGTGCTCTGCTTTTCAAAGGCCGAAAAAAGATTTGCTTAAAACAAAGCAAGCATCCTCAAAATGCACCATGCCAAAATAATCAAGGGAATAAATACCTGGGATTTACAAAATATGAATATTCTTCAGTAAATAAACTGAGGCAAGAGCAGGCAGGGAGAGGAGGCTGCTGCAGTGATGGGGAGGGAGTGCTGAGTGTAAACACTTTCATCTCATAGATGGCAAATCAAGAACATTTAAAGAAAATAAATGTATGCAGAGCAGATTCTTCCTTCTCATGTTACTTTCAGGGGATTTTACTGCTGATAGTTAACGCCACATAAAACCTCTGGAATATTGTGCCAGCAGATGAAAAACTACAATGGCAGAAGGAGTTTCCCATGGATAATTAGCATAAATATCTACTTAAAGCTGAGTAATTTGTTCACTGTGCGGGATGTACCTCAGCAGTTTTATGAGCAAAAAAACACAGGGAATGTTTTGAATGACTTACATTTGAAACAGAGCAGGCAGATACCAGGGACTGTTCAGAGACTACCACACAAAAAAAACTCTGCTCTGAGTGAATGAATGCCCGTTCCCACCAAGCTCAGGGCCAGACATCCCTAGGAGGCTTCACCCAGACACATCCCTGCAGCTTCCCACTCAAAGGAACATTTTTGTTTAATGGGAGGACCAGAGGATCCAGATTTTGGAAATGGAAAAGAAAAAAAAAAAAAAAAGAAAGAGAGAATGAGAGGAAAAAATAAAAATGGACGGGAAAAAATAAAATAAAAATCAGCATTTTCCAATGTACTATTAAAAAAAAATAAAAAGGACTCTTTCCAAATGGTGATCTTTTCCAAAAGGTCATTTGGAAAAAAGGTAATTTTTCATCTTTTACCAGATGCTTTCTTTGACAAGTGTGGCTTGAAGAAGCTGCTGGGAAGGTGGCACTGGCTCAGGGGAATGTCCAGCAGTGTCCCCAGGTGTTGGTCACTCCCACCTCCAGCACTCCTTCAGGCTTCCTCAGAGCACCCCTCTCCTCCAGGGCCTGAAGCTGGGGGTTGTATGGTCTGTGTTTCCATTGGCATCTCCAACATCCCCTGCTCCTGCCAAAGGAGGCAAAAGAGAGAGTGAAAGGAGCAAAAATACTCCATGGGAAAAACCTGAAGGGGAGGTGGTGGATGGTCCTGTAAACCAGTCCAAGACCTGGAAAAGACCCTGAAAAGGATCTGATAATTAAATGATGAGTGGGAGAAAATCCAGCCTTCCAGCCCATGGGACAGTTCAGCTGAAAAGACACAAATATTCAGGTTTTAAAGATGACCCCAGCCCTCTAAGGCTGCTTATTTCAGCAGATTCCCCACCTGGCCTTTAATTTGCCTGTGATACTCCCAGGTTCAGCTGTGCTTTCTCTGAGTGATATCCCTGGCCTGGAACATCCCAGGCAGGGCATAAGCAATTCCATAGAGAGAGCTGAATGAATTAAAAATGAATATACCCTGGCCTCATACACCATTCACTGATTTGCACTGGACCCAACTGCTGCTGAACTCACCAAGACCTTTATTTTCTTCTGATACCTGTGCAAGGCTGGGCTGCAATCCTTGTTGTTTCCATCCTGGACACTATGGCAAGACCTGAGGAAGGGGAACTATATGTGCTCAAATGGGGAAAAAAACCCACTTCTGATCTCAAGGCTGTATATTTCATTTACCTTTATTTAATTATTATTTTTTTAATTGTTGTAATCCAAGCAAAGGGAAAGGAAACTAGAAATGCTCAATGTAGGCAGTAACACTAGTCTCTTCACTGCTGATTTAGAGTTATCCATTAATCTTTTGGAGAAAATTGCTAAGGATGTGGGATCTGATCAAAATAGGGCCAGGTGGAGAACCCTCAAGGAGGGATCAGGGCTCAGCAGTGGTTGCTCAGGTGGCTGTAAATCCCCTCAGTGCCCAAGTTCACCCAGACAAGGATCCCAGCTCCTGGCTGGTTTTGCTCCATTTGTTATCCCAACAAAAGTCTCCGTCTAGCTTGGATGCAGCAAAAGGTGTTGCTTGAAGCCTGGGCTGTCCCACACAGTTGCCCACGTGCCTCAGCCCCGAGGCACGGCTGCTCGGCTTCCCGGGAAACCCCCATCCAGGATGCAACCCTGAGGCACTGCCGGAGGCAATCATCCCCCTGCTGAGCTAAACCCCAGCCCTGGGCTGCAGCTTTCCTTCCAAGTGAGAGTTGGAGCTGCTATTCAGACCTTATATTTAGAAAAATGTGGGAAAAGAACTAGATCCATTTCAGGGTTTGTATTTTTGTTGGCAGGATATCTGGTATCATTATGGAGAGCAAACCCAGGGTTTTTCTTTTCTTTTCGGTTTTTTTTTCTTTTAATTTTTTTTTTCAAAGTATGCATTTTCTTGCCAGAATCATATAGAAGAAGTGGGATATGATGAGGGGAATTTGTGGCTGAGAAGCCTGAGGGAGCAGCAAAATCATTTCATCATCACATCTTTTGCATGCACAGATGTGCGGGTCTGGGAGCACTCCAGAAGTCTCCTCCTCCACGCTCCTGCCCCGTGGCAGAACCAGCTCAGCCTGGTGATGGAGACACCACATCCTCCCCAGGTACTCCTATCCTGACCTTTTTATCCTGCCTGTTAGAAAGTTCCTTGGGTTTGTGGCAAGATACCTCCAGGATGGTTTATTCTGTCAACAATGGATGCAGGGACAGATTATTCCCTCCCTTTGCTGCCATGTGTGACCCCAGGCAGCTGAAGAGCATGGTAGGGAACTCCTGGAGGGTTTGCAGAGCAAACCAGGCCTGCCTGAACACTGAGTGGGACAGTGAGGTGTGATTCATTCTGAGGGCTGGTTTTTGCAGCAGTCTGGTGTTTTATACATTCTCAGCAGAGCAGGGGATGTCACCAACAGCACATTTAAGGACAAGCCCCTGGCAGGCGCTCTGACACACATCGTCTGGCAGACACACTTGCCTCTGGCAGATGGGTCAGCGGACAGCGGGGATGGAAAAACACGGCGATCCTGAGAAAACGACACCCAGCCCTTTTCCTCTCTTAAAGAATTCACAAAATTACCACCAAAATACTGGACCATGGGCTTAAAAAGCAGACAGGGAACCTCTGGGAAAAGCCTCCAGCGACAGGGACACGTCATGTGCTGCCTGCTCAGCTGTCAAGTTAAGGACTTGTCCTGCTATCGCTCAGTCCTCAGAAGGTCAACAATTGGCTTTGCTTATCTCCCCAAAGCACTTTACTCTGGTTAATTGGCACCCCTGGTGACAGGGTGGATTGATGGGTTCCCATCAGGTCTTGCACAGCCATCCTGGCAGGACAAAGCTTCTCCTCACCCCTGCCTACTCGTGTTTTACGGTGTTTCCCAAGGAAGCACACAGGAAGGACTCACTCGTGAGGAATAGATGGATGGAATGGCACTGATGTCAAGGCTGAATCCTGTGAGAGGAGGGTGGGAGAGCACCCTTGAGTTTCTCTCTTCGATTGTCCATCCCTGGATGTCACTGTGCTGCCTGGAGATTGGGCTCATTGCCTTGTCCTGGCCCTGTAACACTGTGGCAGTGCCAGAACAGTAATTGTTCCTGTTAGGCAGCACTTGAAGGCAGCTCATGTGCCTCCGTGGGGTACTTCTCTGTGGAGCACAGGTGGATTGAGTGTCCTCTAGGATGATGAAAGCCATATCTCCAGGCCTGACGCCTTTCTCCTGCAATGTAGAGATACTGGGACCAGAAGGAGGCATAAAAGCAATGTCTCCAAACCTCATTTCCCTACTTACATCTCCTTTTGTGCTGAAGGAAAGGCTCATCTGGACACTCTCCCCCTCCAGAGAAAGCCTCTTTCTACTGGTGATCCCTGAAAAAGATCAGGTGTTACTTTTTAGTTCCCTATTGGCTCTAATCTCCTTCCTTCCTCGATCCCAACTTTACTTAAAAGAAACCCCATATTTATTTAGCTCCTCTTGGATGTTTCTCGGGGAAGGCTCAGCTATTTCTATTCCCCTTTTGATTTCCCAAGGCTCATGCCCAATGGCATGGCAGGAGGAAAAAAAGCCTTCAGCCCTCCCAGGGCTGGGGCCAGGTTCTGCAGGACAGATTTGGTGAGTAAAATAGCTGTGCTGTGCTATCCTATGACTCCATTGGGGTGGGCAATCCCTATAGCCTCAAGGGCTCTTCTTTGCCCTCTGAAAACCAAACTTTCAATGTCTGCCCAAAGCTTTCCCTTGTTTTCACAAACATCTTCACTTTTGCACTCTCAGAATCTGTTGTTTTCTGGGTAGGGCCGTAATTTGTACCCACTTGGCAAGAGTTCCACAGACTTGGGACAAATCCCACATGTATCCACCTCTTCCATGTTCATTCTGGCTTGCAGAGCCCCCATTCCATGCCTGAGCCCTGATATCCCCAGCTCACAGCTCACACGTGGTGTTGGTGACCAGGATCCACCATCTGTGCCGGCAGAGTGCCGCAAAGCCGGAGTCAGAACCTTGTTTTAAGCAAACAGAAATGTGCAGGACATACCAGACTCCTCACTGGAAATCAGAGCCATATTCTTCAAAACTCTGACCCTTTGTTCAGACGCCCTTTGGAGACCTCCCGCAAATACCTCACTTGGACTTCCAGATGCAAGAAATTAATTTTATTTTTTTAATTCTGTGCCACAAATCCTTAATTTTGGAATGTGCACTTTTCCTGTGCGGTCCCTGGCTCCTAGAGACTACAAATACATGTGAAATTGCAACAGGCGTTGATAACAAAAGTTTGAGGGTAACCCAACAGCTTTTCAAAGCCTTTTCTAGATAATTTATCCTAGACTGGCGAGTAGCCACAAGCTCCATGGTGGGGAAGGAGGCTGCTTTTGATTTAGCTGATGTTTAGGTGTGAATGAGGAGGAGAGATATACGATTAATCACTGGAAGCAGGGAGATGGTATTATTTTGATTCATACTTGACAAGTTTTCTAGGAATGCTGAACTCGAGTAGAAGTGCATGGTGGACCCAGCTGTTCAAACAGTGTGATTAATTAAACTGATTCCATGTGAAAAACAACACTGACTCTCACTCTCAAATTGCAAATCATTTTCAATATATTGGGGAAGGGCCAGCCCGAGTTTTTATTAATTGCTCTGGAGGTGATGAATCAGGGTTGTCTACAGAGACCCACACAGGCGCACATTCCTGAGGATGTACGTGATGGTGGGCTGGTTTCTCGGCTGCTTGGAGCAGCAAGAGTTGCTTTCCCGGAGATGCTGCCACTTGCACATGAGGCAGGGATGAATCCCTGGGGTGCACAAGTTTGGATGAGCCTCCCTCTCCCAACCCTGCTCTGAGAGAGTTGCAAAACTGCAACGGAGCCGGTGCTTGTGCTTTGACCAGCGCTAATAATAAACCCTCCTCTCCCCTCATTCACCTGCCAAACCACGGCTCTCTCAAAATATCAGCACGCTGAGAGCGGGCCGTGCACTGTATGATTTGCCCAAGACCACACAGGAAGCCTGTGGCCAAGCTGGAAATTGAGCCCAAAGGCTCCCAGCTCTAGGACTGGGGCTTGGCTGCCCATCCTAAGACCCTTCCCCATGCAGTGCTGGGGCAGCACAGGGAGATGGGTTGGACAAAAGCACCTTGCCTGCACATATTTAAACCCAGCCTGGTGTTGGGATGCCCTTGCAGCAGGTGCTCAGTGGGATTTATGCACCCCAGGTGAGCGCGCCGGGGACTCGGCCCCATGAAAAGGTCCGGAAAAATCCTGCCCTGCAGTGGAGGCTTTTGATTTATATTTTCTCCGCCAGCTTGTCTGTTTTACTCATGCTGCTGACAAGGAGAGGGATATTTGATCCATGCTGAGGGGCAGATGTTGAGCACCGCGGAGCAGGAGGCAGGGCTGCTCCTCAGGTGTAAACCTTCTGATGGCCATAAAACGACTTACAGGGGGGTGGGAGGGAAAGTAATAGATTAATCTGCCTGGTGCTCACAGATGTGGAAAAATACCCTTGAAACAGCTCGGCTGGATGTTTGTCACCGCAGCTGCCACAGAGGGAGAGTGACAGCCCAGCAGCAAGTGCACCTTTCAACTCCACCAAATCCTGCAGGGCACCCCCGATACCAGGCAGTGACCCTGTGCTAACTGGTTTCAAATGTAACGTTTGAAATACCTCACAAATACACATCTGAGCCAAGGTTTCCACCCTGAGCCTGGTGGGGAGGCTCTGAAAGCTTATTGCAAGCACCTGTCTGGTCTTCAGAAGCATTGATCTCCTACTGAGGTCAACAAGAGGAATTAGAAGGGCTGGTGGTTGCCGCTCTTTCTGCAAAGCCCTGATCGCGATCCCAAAATTCCCTACCCAGGGAGCCCTGTTCTGACCCCTCGTGTTTGATCCCAGCAGGAGAAGTCATGCGCATTGAGATGTGTCCCAGACACCTCACGTTGGTGGAGCCCATGTGGCTCCAACCAGCCTTCCTCAGGGGCACGGCAGCTGGCTGATTCCTGGAAAATATTGCTTTGTCCACCCTCTTCAGACCTTGCAGGCTGCTGTTTCTCTAAAACAGCTGAGTGATAGTTAAAAAATACTTGCCCTCTTTCCCCTCTCTCTGAAAGGAATGGGAGTCTCTACGGACCCATTTATATTGCTGGCTCAACTGAAGCTAATAGGAATATTCCCCTTCTTCTCCACAGGGGCCACATTTTTCCCTCGGGAGATCTGCAGGGCCATTTACTAATTTCACAGACATCTCAGCAATTCTCCCTTGTCAACCTGAGCTTCTTAGAAATGGAGAATGTGATCCCCCTCTGTCTCTGGGTGATTGTGACGCCCTTGCCTTCATGCTCGTGCTGCTCCAAACAACACATTTTCTGAGCACACTGTGTTTGTCTGAAAATACACCAGGAGGGCTGCCCAATTTGGAAATGACTTGAATTACAAAAAAAGCACAGCTGTCTTTAACAGCTCTCGAAGCTCATGCAACTAGTCTGCAATTTATTGACTAGGATTAGATGCTTATTGTCTATGACACTTTAAATACCATTACATTGAAGTTTATACAAGAAAGTCCAAGTTTTCAAACTGGAATCTTAGCAATAACAGCTGGACCATTTGTTTATATGATAGGCAGAAAAGAATGACTTCTGTAATCTGTGTATTTGGCTTTAGGATTTTCTACGACATGGGGAGACAGAAACCTACCCCATCCCTAATTGAGGATTGTGAGACAGAGCTGAGCAGCACTGGCTAATTTGTCCCTGATGTTGAGACTGCAGCCAAAGCTGGGGTTGAGTCCTTCCCTTACACCTGACGGAGAAGCACTTGAAACCCTCTAGCCCACCTCTGACAGGCAGGGCTAGGTCTCCCGTCTCTCTCCCCCAAGGCTGCTCACATTCCGCATTTTGTTTCTAGCATGAAAGACTTTGTTTTAAATCATAATAGTAACCAGGCTGTAATCACATTATAGCACACATGGAGAACTCGCAAAAAGTCATGTGCTTTGGATTTGACATTCTGATTTATGGTTGTGCGCTCCAGTTACACAGCTGCAATCTCATTTTCGACAAAGATGTTTTCTATTTTTCTATTACTTTGCTTCACCCTGTCTTTATGTCGAAGAAAATGAAAGCCACCAGGTGAAGCCGGCACAAGAGGACAAATGTTTGCATGTTCTGGATCAAAACCATGATCAAATATTTTATGCTCTCCTTTCATAAACAGCTTTCTACAGGCACATGTGGAGGGGGTGTAGATTCTTCATTTTGAGCCATTTGAAGTTAAAAAAAAATAATTCCAGACTTTTATTTATTCAGAAACTAGATCAGCCTATGAAATTCACATCCCAGCCACTTGATCACGGTGACTTCACCAAAGAGGGAAGAGGTTGCAGAATTACTCCTCAGACAGTTGAACAGCCTCTCTGCTTGCCGGGACCCAAAGCTGCTCCTTGAGTAAATTTCACTCCTGAGCAAAGCCCAGCAGAGGTGGCAAAGCCTTTCCCTGCTCAGTTAATTGTAGATTGCCGTCATCAGCCCTTCCCTCTGTCAGTAACCCGTTGGCTTTGCATTCCTAGGAAGAGTAGCAGCATTCCAGCTTAATTAAAAAAGTGAGCACTTTTGCAGTAAATTGCATTAACGTTGGAAAGGGGCCAGAGCTTATGTTTTACATGAACCTCTCTTGTCTAGAGCGGAGTAAAGAAAAGAAAATGTCATCAACATTCTTTTCACAATTTAAACACTGATGATCTATCTTTAGGGCCAATGCTGGCTGAGCATTACAGAGAGCACAAAACCACCAGTGAGTCCCTCACCGGGGGTAAATTACGCGTTGCAAACTCATAAACCTTCAAGTGTGGCGTAAAATTTTACTCAGGCCATCATTTTCAGTATGGCTTAGCAAGGGCCTGGATGGAAAACATATTTCTGGTGGTTCTAGAGCATGTGTTAAAGAGCTGGAAACAAACACTAGTGGAGCTTCCATGGGTCAGACATTGACCACGAGTCCTCATTGCAGCAAGACTTTGACTGTAGACCCCCTGGGCCAAGCAGCATTTTGATCTCAACAATAAGTTATTTTATCTACTCTATAGATTCTGTAGGCTCTAAATGAGGGAAGTTTCTGTCTTCAGGACCATGCTACTCTAAGTTCACAACTAAACACTGAGCTGGGACTCAGTAGAGTTGAGCCTTGAAATGGAGAGCCAGGCTGTTGAAAATGCCCCATGGAAGGAAAACTCTAGAAATTCTGTGTACATCAAGACGACCAGAATTTTTTAAAAGTCACTTTTTTCTTTTTTTTTTTCCCAGACTAGAAATTTCCAAATATCAGGGACTCAGTTCAACTACATCCTTCAGCTGCTTCTGAAGGGACAAGTATCAGTGAAACTGAGATGAGACACTGCCCTGAGTCACAGTCTGAAAGGGGCCTTGGTGACAGTATCTGCTGCTCAGCTTTCCACCAGCAATAACTCATTTCTAGGGATAATGAAACTGTTCAGTGCTGGACCTACTGGGTGGCAACAAAATGAAGAGTTCAAGAATTTTGCATTTTTCAGGTGAAAACTACAGAGTGGAAACTTTCCGTCTTGCTCCACAGAACTTTGATGGGGGAAAAAATCCATAATTTGAGAAAGGGAGAGTAATTTGTTTACCATTATTGGCTAAATCCTGATATTCTGGCTGTGCTGAAAAGATTGATCTGTTGATCAAAGTACTAGGTCTGAATGTTCCATAAATTGGCAGGGACATGCTGGAGTGCAAGATCTGCTGCCCCTGAGCCAAGCAGAGCAGGAGAACACCAGTATTTCTTTTTCCAGAGAGGTGAGATAGTCCCAGGGGATCTCTGGGTTACTGTCAGGGTTGGTCCCTCAGCAGAGTAAAGAGAAGAACACGTAAATGGGACTCTATAACTCTGTAAGAGGGTGTTCTTGGCTGTTCATGTCCCATTCCCAGCTCCATTCCTGTCCCACAGACCCTGAGATGGACGGAGTAGGACTGAGCAGAACAACTCAAGCAGAAATCCACAGCAGTTACTTCTCCTGTGCTCACCCTCCATTTCCATCCCTGGCTCAGCCAGTCAAAATATTTTTGACCAAGACGTTTTCCGCTGGAAAATGCTGTTCCTTTCCTTCTGAAATCAAGCACGAACTTGTTCAAATGTCAATGACACTCTTTGGTCAGGAAAAAGTCAAAACATTGCATTTTGATAGTGTAGTTTCAATTTGTGACATTTTGACTTTTCTATCATAATACAATCCTGTTCTATTAGAGCAGATTATGTAGTTCTACATGTTCAGCTACACTTAACAGTTGATACAATGTAAAAGTCAAAACAAATTACCTCCTTCAACACAGTCTAACAAAACATCCCAATCCCTTTACAGTTTTTTTTATCCTGGAGGCAATTGTGACTTTTAGCTTATAATTCTAAATGGGAATGATTCTCATTTTACAAAACAATGGAAGCCCTGGCAGAGTAGAAACTCCTGCTCCTGGCCAGTATTGAACATATGCCTGGTGGTTGGTACTCCAGAATCATCTTTTAAAACTCATTAAGTGATTAAATTAATCAAGGACCGTCACCACAGCACTCACAGACACCTGTCCACCTGCCCTGGAAGACACTTGATCAACTTTAGTAGTGTTATATTTTAATTTTGTTGCCAATGCCATGGGTATCTTCACCTAAGCAATTCTTCCCAAGATTTTCTTTATTTGGGTAGGAAAAAAATCACCTTTCACCTGGGATTTTCCTGGAAAAATGTGGGCATTTACCTTAGTTTGAGGTGGATGGATATTCCCATGGCCATCCATGTCCTCTAAACTCCGTATGGATCACTCCTCTGTTGCCTGTAGAGGAAGGTAGAGTGGGTGGCTCAGATGGAGACTTTGATTTGTTGAACTATCAGGTGAACTCTGTCCCTGGTGCCTTCAGTAAACACATATTTTATTTTCTCTCTATGATATCTCTGGTTAGTCCCATTGGGAAATCTCTCACCATGTGCTTCTTGGGACTGGCCAAAGCTGGATTGTCTTGGAGGACTCATACAGCTGCAGATTAACAAGAAAGAAAAATTTGGAAGTAATTTCAAAACAATTCCCCCTCCATGCTGGCTTTTTTTGTTTGGTTGATTGGTTTGGTTTTGGTTTGTTTGGGTTTTGGGGTTTTTTTTGGTTTTTTGGTTTTGGGTTTTTTTGTGATAAACATTTCCCTTGAGAAATTCTATTTATTTGTTTTACAGTAAAATTCTGAATACTGTTGAAGTTCAAAGTTGCCTGTGTCCGGTGTGGTGCACTTAAAGATTTCCCTTCACCAGAAAGGCCTTGTTTTTACAACAAAATTCCTGAGAAAAAATTTTCTAACATCACTGAGACATCTCTGAAGCTCTACCATTTTTCCACAAACTATGTAAACAAAATCATGAGCTGAAATGATGTTTGTAATTCTCCATGTCACAGACAGCTGTTCAGCCATGCACTTGCTAAAGACAGGATTCCAAGCACATGATAATTGAAAAAAAAAAAAAAGTAAAAAAAAACAAACCCAAAAACTTCTGTGCATTTTTGAGGGAAAAAATGTTTGTGGAAAAATGGCTCAAATTAATTGCCAGGAAAACGGGCCCAACCAGCCCTTGCAAAGTGAAAACACTTGGGGTATTTTGCACAAAACCATCTTCCCTCTTCCTTTGCCAGGGGTCGGTGCAGGTGCAGGGGGATTTTTCTGGGGAGACGTGACTCATGGTTCCCTTGGGAAAACGAGGAGACCCAGGGCCTTCCCCTGCAAGTGGGTGGGAGTTAGAGTTAGGCCTTGTGCAGATGGTGGAACAGGAGCTGTAAGGCCGTGCCAGGCCATGCCAGGCTGTGACAGGCCACTCCAGGCCACACCAGGCCATGCCAGTCCATACCAGGCAGCTCTGTCCACCCTCGCCAGGGATGGATGGCTCTGGCTTCCTCAGGAAGGCTGAAATGTGCCACATGCTCCTGGAGAGTGCCAAGGCTTCCTTAAGCACCTTCACCTGCTCCAGCATTATTTTATTTCCCATTAGCTGGTGCAAAGCCGTGGAGAAAAGAGGCATTGACCATGATCACAGCAGAGCAAGGCCAGGCTGGGAGCCAGGGATGATATTGCACAAGCTGGATAAACATTTCTCCCCGAAGCTTCACAGAGCCTGTCTGCCACGGGCAAAGGCTTTGCAGAGCTGCTTCACTCCATACCTTGCAAAAAGACCCTGGATGAGAGATTATGTTTTCACATTGTTTCCCAAATTACTTTAAATGTCAACTTAAAAGGCTTTTAAGGGTTTTTATTTCAAACGGAAGTATTAACTGGAACTGCCAGGGGCAGTTAGCTTGAGCAAAGGAATACCGTGCATCTTAAACAGGGTAGAAATTTTTATGACCCAAATTCTTCATTTATTATACACAGATGGTGGGAGAAGGCTGCTGTCCCCAGTGTCCAGCAGTGAAACAGGTCTGACCAAGCTCTCCTACAGACAAATGGTGCCTGCTCAGAGCTCCCTGAATGTCAAATGACGCTTTTCTCCTTATTCCTTCTATGCAGGGTGACACAAGGACTGAGCCTGATTTGTGGGCCTGGTGAAACCCATCATATTCCTGCTTAATTCAGGCTGAAGGTGTAGCAGAATGGAGCACAGCACTTTCCCATTGCCAAGCACGAGTGTGGGCTCTGGCTGACACATCCCTGGAGGGTGGCCACACTCACCAGTGGTGGTCACATCGTGCCATGTGGTTCTGCAGGTGTTCAGAGACACCCACCTGCCCCTACAGTACCATTGGCTTTATCTGAATGGTTCGTGCAAGAACCCAGTTAAACCTGGGATGAAAACAGAGCTCCAGGGTGGCAGCTGGAGCCCCCAGCCTCAGCAGAAAAGGTGTTAACAGGAGATGAAAGAGATGGCTGTGGAGAGAAAGATAAGGAGCACTTCTTTTCCTTTATTTTGACATCCTGAGAAGGAATCTTTGCCAAAGTAGGTTGATCAATTAGTCATTGAGCCAATGGATCGATCAAAGGTAGCTCCTGGGAGGGAGACTGTGTTTATTTGGCTTATTCTTCTTCTGTTCTCACTGACACCACCTCATCAAAAAGAGTGTTCAATATCTTAAGATTGTTAGAGCTTTGTTACACTCACAATTGCTACAGTGAAAACAGGTGAACAAACTCCTCCTCTATGTAGTGCAGCAAGTGCAGCAAAAATCACCCAAATTAAGTGCAAAAGTCATGCTGACCTGTGGGCAGGTGAGCAATTTCTGTTCACTCACTCAGTTTGTGATGTTACTTCCAGCCCAGGGAAGGGCAAAAACCTCACAGCTGAGCTCTCCGGACATGTGTTTAAAAAGCCACAAAAACTGCAGTGTGGCACAGAAAGAGAATGGGAGAGATCAAGCTTGGTCCATGAAGAGAATAAATTATGCCAGGGGAAAATGGAAGTGGCCCATGATGCATCCTGTGGGAGAAGGAGGACTCCCAACCATAATTGACTAATTAAGTGGGAAGAAAATTTGTGCTTGAGCACAGATCTAGCAATGCTTTTATAACAGAGGCAGTGGTCAAGGCCCTTCTGAGGAACATCTTGGTGTTGTGGTCACCAGCTCTGCCTGGGACCAGTCACTAGGCTTTAGGGAAGGGCAAGAAAACAAATCCAGGAGTGAGATTGCACAAGGAGCAGGAAAGAAGCTATGGTGAGGAAATAATGCTCATCCCCTGCAAGAGCCAGGAAGTTCCAAAGCCTGTGATTAATTTAATGTGCTGTAAATGCTCTATGACAAACATGGGCATCAGCTGTTCTTCTAATCCCACTTGGAAATTCCAGACAGTCAGACACCCAGCACATCATACCACAAGCTCTCGTTTCCAATCCCAGGACTGTGCCTACAGGCGTGACACGAGAAGCTCTGGACTCTTCCTGCCCTGAGTTTGGTGAGGTGGCCAGACACCCACATCTCTCAGGATCTAATTCCTCCTGATTTTTAGCCTAAACATGTCTGTGACCAACATATCAGCTATTTTTGTGCTGGTGGTCCTTGGTCAGCCCACAGAGAAGGAGTGTATCCTTCTGTCCTATCTCCTGCACTTCCAAACCACTGCTGTCCAATCCAGGGAATGGTTCTGGCTTGCACTTGACCTTGTATTTGTGTGGCCAATTGTCTTCCACTCCACCATTTTACTCTGGCTGCCTCTTTGGTATCTCTCAGGTTTGACAGTATCACCCAAAGTCGTGGTGCTTTTATTTCTCAATCCTTCAACAGGTTCTTCAGATGTCAGTTGAGTCTCCAAAAAAAAGACTATTTTTCTTTAACTTGTTGCTCCTGTTGAAGGTACAAGGTGTTTCTTGTGTAATCTCCACTTCTTTTTTATTCAAACCCAATATTAAATTTCTTGAGGCCAGATTTGGAACACGAGTTCCCCTTGCCAAAGGAATCAGCTATCTTAATGGATATCTATGGTTATATATTGAGTCAGAGCAACACAATCTGTCCTTAACAAAACCATGTGGGATTTGCTGCATCTCCCATGCTCCCACTGCCCCCTTGCATCAAACTCTTCTCTCAGACCCTTCAGAAAAATTAGGTGAGACAATGGACATGCGATGGCCATGAGCATCCTGCCCTCCTTACCTCATTTGTGTGAGTTTAGGCATTCATTTTTCTTTCTCCAGTCCCAGGACAGCAGCTTCCAGTTGACAGATTCATTATCTTTCCTTGCTACTGAAGCTGCAGTTTCATGTGCTGGTGCTTTTTAGTACCCTCAGTGTTCCCCGTTCACTTAAACACCAATTATTCCTGGGTTCAGCACAGGGCTAAGCAGGCAAAACTCTCCAGTCTGCATTTTACAGGTCACAGTAGATGATCTAATGATCCCTTTGGCCTCAGGGACTCCAAATGTTAAAAGCATTATATGGCACATCCTTTAAAAAGCTGGATATTTTTGGCACTGTCCCCTTTCTCGCTGTGATCTTATCAGCCCTCACAAGCTGAATGCTGTTGAAATTTATTTGTTACTTCACATGAGTGGAGGGCATCAAGAAATGCTCTGGGGACTGTTGCAGATGATTCATTTGTGGGAAACCTTTCCCAAGCTGGATTTCTGTGCTGGATGTGGGAGAGGAGCAGCTCCATGCAAAGGAGTCACACTCGAAATAAACAAAAGGAGGCATTTCCCCCATGGTGGGGAAGGAACTGCTGAAAATCTTTGCTTATGGGTGTGAAAAGCTTACCTGGGATCCCAGAGGGATGGTACAATTACTTGGAGGAGCACTCCAGGTGGGATTACTAGGAAAATGGGTCACATCAGGCTAAGAAAATCCTCCGAGCTGGAGGTAGTGGGATTTTTGGGAGAAACACCACACACACACTTTCCTTTGTGTCTTTTTCCTGTTGGAGACAGAACCTGGACTGAATGGACCAGGTTCAGAACACATTATGCCTAAAATGCAGCCTTGCAGCTGAAAAGGGAGCCCAAGGCCATCCCAACCATATTCCCACTAAGATCCTACAGCCCTGTGCAGAAGATGAGGGTTTGTCCATCTACCAACACATAAACATGCAGGATTCTTTTTTTAATTTATGGACTTACCTTCTCAGGGCACCCACTGTTAGGTATGACTTCATGGTAAAAAAGTCAGAATATAGGATTTTTTTCCTCATGGAGAAAGTGAATTTAAAAAAAAGTACAGGTATGTTTTTGTTTTGCCAAATTTAAATTAGAGGAGGAGGCAAAAAATAATATAATTTTAATCAAAAAATTACCACAGCAATGGAGACCCTCTGCTCTGGAGCCAGGCTGGGAGAGCTGGGAGTGTTCATCCTGGAGAGGGGAAGGCTCCAGAGAGACGTCAAAGCCCCTTGCAGGGCCTAAAGGGACTCCAAGAGAGCTGGA